GAGAGAGAGAGAGAGAGAGACAGAGAGAGACAGAGAGAGACAGAGAGACAGACAGAGAGAGAGAGAGAGAGAGAGACAGAGAGACATACAGACTGAGCGAGAGAGAGAGAGAAAGAGAGAGAGAGACAGAGAGAGACAGAAACAGAGACAGAGACTGAGATAGTCAGACAGACAGACAAATAGATGGAGCGAGAGAAGGGGGAGAAGAAGAGAGACAGACAGACAGACAGAGAAAAGCAACAGACAGTCAGACAGAGACGCTGATAGACAGGGCAAGAGGGGGTGAAAAAGAAAAAGAAAGAAAGAAAGAAAGAGACAGACAGACAGACAGACAGACAGACAGACAGACAGACAGACAGACAGACAGAGGGGGGAGAGAGAAAAAGAGACAAGGGGAGAGAAAAAGACAGACAGAGAAACAGAGAGGGAGAGAGATGACAGAGGGACACTGGAGAACGAGTAGATTTGCTGAAAATTTAACCTTTAGTTGTTGGGATTTTCTTTCAGATCTATAGAGACGAAGAAAAATGTATCTGTGTCTATTTGTTTATTAGAATGTAGGTGCCTATGTTAACTTAAACCAAAAACAAGTCTTACAATTTATGGCCGAGGGAGGCAGGGGAGTTGCCTAAAAAATGCGATAGAATTCACAGGCCTCCTTTCTTTAAAGGCCTAGTAACCTAGTGAACTAACTACAGACGGTACTACACTTTTTCATGACATGACAGCATCCCTGAGCATCGCCATGGCAGCGATCACCGCGCGTAAGTGTTTTCGCGCCCCGCGACGGGCGATACGCGAAACGATGCACTGTTGTTATGGAGCGCCGCCACGAATGTCACCTCTTTATTACTGTAAACCCTCTCTGATAAAACCAAGGAAAGGAATTCTGAATGTTTAAATATGTAAAAACTGAATACATTTTTTAAAAAGTGATTTAAATCACTGATTTTTATTTTAAAAATCAAGTTGATTAAAATAAAAAACATCAACTGATTTAAATCAACCCAGCTCTGATTTCAATTACGGAAAAAACAGTAAATAGAATACTGTATTATTTTACAGTGAAAGGGGGGAAAGTAGACTTTTAAGCATGATTATATATTAGTCTACTAAACTTTATATCTGTTTTATGAAACCAAGGAAAGGAATTCTGAATGTTGAAATATGTTTTAAAAAATTAAAAAGTGATTTAAATCACTGATTTTTATTTTAAAAATCAAGTTGATTTTAATTTAAAAAATCAACTGATTGAAATCGACCTGATTTAAATCAACCCAACCCTGACATTGAGCCTCACTGTGTTCTAGGCTGCTATCATGTGTGCGTTTTTAAACATTATTATTGTTGCCAGGGGCGCAAGCCCCCCTGAAACGCCCCACTGTTGTTAGTGCGCATTAATATATAAACACAGTGGGACCCCAAAGTTAAATCCGGCAGATTTTTTTCCATACGAACTTAAATTTCGGTGGACTACTTCGCATTGTGCAACCCCCCCCCCCCCTGACTTCTGAGTTTAGCGATATCGAATTCCCGAGAGATGCCATGACTTACACCGTCGGTCAATTTCTCATTTCTCATTTGACATTTGATGGACACATGGCATATTTCTGTGCATAGTGTTGTTTGGTAGAGTCTGAGTAGTGAAGTGTGCTCCAACTTGAAAAAAATGTTATATCATAGATATTTTAACTGTAGAGATCCAAAAAGCGTCTTTTGTTATCTAGATTTACTAAAAAGAACCCAGCAAAACAATATATATAGAGCGGACAATTGTATGGCATAGCACTGCAAGGCTCAAAATTAATTCTGGCTTCATTCATTCAGTGTTGGGTCCACCAAAGTTCAATCTTAGCCGATTGTTAAGATTCCCGCGTTTAATTCCCATTTGCGTCAGGGTTAGAGTCAGGATTAAGGTTAGGCCTACAGACCAAAGCGAAACATGCCTGAGGCTATGAAAAACGCAATGAGAAATAAATGCGGGAATTTTAACTCTTGTCCTGCATCTGTGCTTAGATGCGAATCTGATCAGCAACCGATTACGTCGGACGTTCCGGGCAGGCCGCCAGGATCACTCAGCGTGTACCGCTGGTGTACAGCGAGCACACCTGGAAACGTGTGTTTTCGCCAGGAATACGTTGGGAGTGTGTTAATCCATGACGAAAATAACGCTCTATCTTTTATAGCTTTCTGTCTATTTATCAAGTGTTACGAACGTATCATGAATAACCCCCTCTCATAAGCTGATAAAAACAAGTAGTTACACCCATTAGAATTATACCTTTTTGTATGCTCTTGTTGCTATGAATGACCTGAGGTTCGAAAGGGGATATAATATATATATTATATACATGTCAATTTCCTAATATTTGGCACTTAAATTGTTCTCTTACCTGCACAATGGTATTAAAAACTACCAAACAAGCTTACTTTTTATCAGGTCTAGCATTATTGCATGAGCATGAGACTCTCCTTAAAATAAATGATAGATTCCTCTGTGTAGGAAGAATTAAAAGTTTATTTACAGAAAAACTCTCAGAATACCTTTAAAATGGTTCGTTCATAACAATTATGTCAAACTTCAATTTGACCTAAAAATTAATATATATATTTTGACCTGTCATTCATTTTTAAAAACTTTTACTTAAAATTAAATGAAACTCTCCTCATAATATTATGTATCTGTGTACATGTTTTTAAAGTTTATATTAACACTGAAAAGCCCTCAAAATTTATTAAATGGACAATAAATAGTTCGTTCATAACCATTACTACAAAAGTTAATATCAAAATTAAAATCCACACCCATACACTTATAATGATAATTTAATCAACAGAATGTATGCAAGGTCTGTCCTTTAGTTGGATTGAAATTGAAAATACATCCCAAAATTGTAAATTACATGGAATGAGGTTTCATTCAAATCATTATAACGGTTATGACACACTGTTTCGTTAATTCATTACAACTCTATTATAATGACAAATTTTACTCCTGAAACCCCCCACCATATTTTTATTAGGTCAGGGGCCCCATACTCTTACGGGCAAAAACCGGCAATTAACAATTGTGGGTGGGAAATACCGAAAAAAACGCCGAAAAATGGAAATCTTGTTTCCTGTAGATCCTTTATTTCGAGCTCCTCATGTCTTCAGTGGGTCAATTTGTTTCTAGATATAGATCATTGGACGAACATCTAGTCTAGATCTAGAGCTACCAACTTGGCGTGTAGTGTTTTGAATGAGACGTAACTATGCCTCGGTTACGAACCAACGTTCTAGAGGAAGGCCACAAACACAGACACAAGCAGACTGACGCACACACACTTGAGTTTGAGCTGGGTGATGGCGGATCTGACGCGGGACACGAATTGAACGGGAGATAATGCTCTGCGCGACTGCGCTGTGCCAGGGGTCAGACTGACGAGGGACCAGAACGAAGGCAAGGTGCCGAAATAGGCTTATCGGGCGACATAAACCCGGCCCCCACAGGACGAGGGTTAGGGTCTGCCTACTAGATCTAATGACTAATGGACACTGCGTCGGCACGGCCTGTTTCTGTGCATCATCATAGTGTTGTGCTGGTAGTCGGTAGAGTCTGTGTAGTGAAGTGTGTTCCAACTTGGAAAAAAAATGTTCATCATGTAGGCCTTAGATTCTAGATCTAGAAATCTAGATCTAAATCTAGATCTAGATTCTAGATCTAGAATCCAGATATTAGATTCGGCCTTAGATTCTAATCTAACTGCAGAGATCAAAACAAAGTACAAACAGTCAAGACAAACAGTCTTTTTCTGCCTCTGCTATAAAAAAAACAAGAAAAACAAAGCCAAAGACAGAGACAGGAAAAGGAGGCCAAGATCTCCTTTGCTAATTGAAATAGTGTGACCATTCGAGGAGATTTGGGAAAATAAACTGAACATAGCAGAAAAAAACAAAGAGAGCACAAAAAAAGGAAAAAGGATCTGACCTGTCATTAGCTGGTCTTCCTGACATTCTAAGTGAAAACATCCGCCATTTGCAAATTATCGGGAATCATGGGGATTTTAGAAGAAAGCAGGGACGGAGTAAAAACAAATTAATGTGATTTAGATCTAGGTCAAATAAATTTTGTTTCTCCTGAAAATATATTTTAATTGTTTCTGACAGTAAAAATACGCCTTCTGTATCACGTTTTAATGAATATGGTGTCCAACGTATATTATTCTTTTCAGTCTATTAATCGCGATCCTATCGTGTTTACCCACCCGACAAAATGGCTGGTGTTTATGATCCCGACTATGGAACAGCTTATTACCGTTCAAACGATCCCATCAAGAACTTGAAACTGAGGTCAGTACATGTATGGTTAGTCTCATTATATACTGCTTTTTTAATGGAGCGGAAATCTTGCGTGCTCAAAACTTGTATTGATTATTTATGTATGGTCAATGTTATTATTCCTGTTTACTGTTTTTGAAGTTGAACTTGTCTCATCATGAATATGAGTGATGATCATCATTTCGCCAAAGAATATAAAGAAATAGAAAGTAGGAAATGAAATTATTAAACTACGCGTAGAATTTTATCTATTTTAGACCTAAACCTTTCTGTTGTATCCTTGTCTTAAACTTTAATAGCTCAGGAAGGTGGCAAAATAATACCAGCCTTATGATATGATTTTTATGTAATCTAGTCTAGATCTACATCTAGATGATCTAATCTAGAATCTAGAGATCTAGATATCTAGATCTATATAGATATAGATCTAATCTAGATTCTATGTTATATTATTGAAAGTCTGTCACTTTGGCCACCTAAAACTTCTGATCCACTTTATTCGAATTTGAAAAAATTAACGGTGGTTCAGAATCATTTAAATGGTGCACAGTTTTACTGAGGAGTCTGCTGAAGTCACTGTTGTAGTTTAAATTTCAGTTTTTCATTAGTTTCGTTTAGATCTAACCTTGGGAACGTCCGTCCTCTAAGACGCCATTGTAAACAAGTGAGGCTTCCGTTCACAGGAGTGCGTGGACTGATCCCACAATGACTTCTATTCTTTTGAGTCTGTTGTTCATCGAATGGGAAACCCAGCTAGTAAATTATAATGGTTGCGGTTATTAGTTCCAGAATAGTGCATGTGTATAACTCTAAGTAGTTATTAGTACAATTGTTCCAATAACCAGACAGTTATTTATACAATAATTATTTGAATTTTTGAGGTTGTTGGTGCCTAAATTGGTAGGCCTAAAAGGAAAAGTATACTTTTATTGAAATATAAGAATAATTATGACTAGGCCTACTGTTTCTTTGTTTTTACTGTACAGAACCGTCAGTGGAAATCTTCGAAGTCAAAACAATGATGGGAAAAAATTGTTGGTCAGTCGGGGTTGGAGAAAAAAAAAACTTCCTGGACCAAGATTCGATCCCACACTCATAAATAATTTGTACTTCTTCTAAAACAGACATGATGTCATTACAGCCATCATGACTTTCAACATTTTAAAGGTAGATTAAGCTTAAATGTTTTTACAGCGCAGTATCACAAAAGGCAACGCAACAGAGATTCTAGACGTAGTTTTTTTTACATTAGGGAACACTATCAATGAGGCGGCTGGCATCGAATCAGCAGATGGGGTCTGGCGAAAATTTTAATTTCCGCTGGCGGAAAATTGGAGTTGATCTACTAAGCCAGAACATAGGCCTGTTTTTACTATTGTACAGATAACTGTAGCAATTATAATTATTCAAACAATTATGTAGCTATTGTGCGTACAATATTGTACGAATAACCAGAAAGAGTTGTTCGCACCATTGTGCGTATGATCACTCCGTAAATAAGCATAATTTCACTTAAAATTCAGATTTGGAGCTGTGGGGTTTTTTTTAACTCATGGTCATGGGGAATAAAATTCCGCCCAGAAAAGTGTGAATACAAAAGAATAATGAGTATAGAACTACACCAAACACTGGTTATCTGTAAATGTGGTGGTCAAATCATACCCAAATTCTCCAAATCTAAATATAAATAGAGATTGGAAGCATGCCATAGATCTTGTATGTGTACCCTAATACGGGGTGCTCATTACGGTGGGTCTGGCCCATCTCCCGGCTCTGTCGCCTGAAAACAAACGCTTAACTTGTTTACTGAGTTAGCCCAACCTGACGACCCCATCCGTAATGGGCACCCGTATAACATCCATAGGAAGTTTGAGTAGTTTTAAAACTAATAGTGTCCTACCGACTGAACATTTTTATATATATTCTTACTTCATCGAATGCTTTTTAAAAATTTAATTGAATTTAATCATATATAATATATATATATATATATATATATATATATATATATATATATATATATATATATATATATGTATAATAATAAAGTTAACCCTGCGCATCGAGCAAAATTTTTGAAGGTTGGTGAAGTCTTAAATTTTAATATCGTGAACATATTTTGATTCATATTTTAGATACAAAGAAAAAATGCGTAAATTTAAGTTCGCCAAGCGCTACATTTTCCTAAATTATATATTTATATGCTCTTCCATTTTCTTTACAGGGTGACGTTGAAGAGAGTTTCAGCTGTTGGATTTGATGCCGATGCGGCTCAGCCGAATAAAACCGCAGAAGGTGTTGAGCTTGCCACACTGGGGAAAGGGAAAAAATCGAGATCTGCAGATTCTCAAGAGTGTGTTGTTGGATGGCAAGAAAAAATCTTCTGTCAGGTTGCTGAAACTTTTCGTTTCCTATAATTGGATTAACCCTATCCATACGTCGTGTTTTACTATCGTATCCATACGATGTGGGGAACTCTGTGCCACCCTTTTCCAAAGGGGAAATTTACTCGTTAATCCGATCCGTACTCTTTGCATAGCAGTCTGTCAAAATGATTTTTTGAGAAATGCTGAAAGTTTCAAAGATATCTTCGTACTTCAAGTATTCTAAAATGTGAAGAATACAACCCCTGGGTTACAAAATGACCCCAGGGCGTAGGGACAGGGTTAATCTACTCATCACTTTGTGTTCCATTACCCGTTTACTTGAAAAAGACTGAGGGATTTTTTATTGTTTTCAGACTTGCAGATGAACAAAGATATATATACAGTTTGATAGGCTTGTCATGAACAAATGTATTAATTAACTGTACACATTATATTGTCTCTTTGTATTTTTCAGAGAGAGATTGAGTTTTACAGCAAGACGGAAAATTGCCAGAATGTTCTGGATAATAAATATCACCAGGAAGTCACTGCTTTACTGTAAGTACCTGTATGCAGGATTGAATACAAAATCATTACTGTTAGTGTCATAGAATTTGTTGTGTTTTCGAATGGTTTCCCACCCCGTCGCAGTGCCACTAACTGAAGTGTCTTTAGACCATTCTCAAAGGGGGACATTAACCATGTTTTTATGCACAGCAGAATTATAATTGTAAATGGGCTGATTCATCAGTGTCATGCTCATAACTGTGCCTGAACTGCAGCATGGAACTGCTGCTTTTTCTTTCCTAATCCTTACTATCGTCATTTGCCTCTACTTCTTTTGTATGTTTGTCACACTCTTGTGACCTGCTATTTCAGTGGTGCCTTGATAGTTGAAGCAGACCTTGTGCTGTTGAAGCTAGAGAGGTGAGCAGAGTAAGTCTGATGCCCTGTAAAGATTTCTCTGTTGACATCCACCCCATGGCGCTCATATGACCTTATGCAGTTGCGAGCGCCGTAAAACCCTTTACTATAATAATAAAAATCGAGAAATGAAAATACATAGTTAAACGACATGCTCTTTTTCTTTCAGCAATAAACGTCGGCAGCAGGGCATGGTCTTCACGTATGTCGATCATGATGAATTTTCCCATCAAAAAGAGGTAAGTCCTTTTATAATATTGGATGATTTTGGGCTGAGACTTTTACGTGAGATTTCTTTTTTCTCATTCTTTGTTGTCTCTAAAAACATCCAGCTACTAGCTCCAACTGTAATGTTGTTGTTGATGTTGTTGTTTTTATGTTGCTAATTAATGTTGATGTTTTAAGCACAAGGGGGCTATCCCGAAAAATGCTGGTTTGAGAAAATCGAAGGGAAAGTTTTCCGCCTTGTTCAGTTTCTTTAAAAGACAAAGAGAGTTTTCTCTATAACCAAACAAATATTCACACCAATGAAACCAAACTTCTCCTGTAGGAAGGACAATGCCCACTTTTGGTGTAGGTCAAGATTTCTGGAAATCCCCGAAATCTGTTTAGCCCGCTTGTCCCTAAAAGGGACCAGTTTTTTATGCTATAATTGTTCTAATCAGTCTTACAGCACTTAGGTTTTTCTTGTTTGGGCCTTAAATTGTGCCATGTTATAGTATTTAAAGTCTACTCGTCTGTCATGGGTGTTGTGTAAGCAGATTTTGTCAGTGTCAGAATTTGGCAAAAGAAGTTGACTCCTTTTGTAATGTGTGACTGATGTTATGAAATGTAAAAATGAGAATGAAACTATTTTGGGAATGTTGAAAAAACGAGTCTTTAATATCACAATTATTACCCTTCTTCATACGTCACATTTTGTCTCGTTTTGAATTCACTCGAGATTTCAGTGTAAAATAAACAACAATAAAATCAGTTCACCCGCAGACAGGTAATAGAGCGGCTGTGTGTTTTCGTCTTCTTTTCAAGTATTTATCTTTTTATAATGTGAGGCCATATGCAGCCGTCACACCTTTCATAATGTAGGTCTGAGTGCTGGTATTCAACCAACGTTGTCGAGATGTTTCTACCTCCACATGCCAGTACCCGATGGTATGCTGGTTCTTTTTTTTTCATGCTAACTCTGGTCACATGTTGTTTTATTTAAACATGTTACTTTTAATTGTCATTTAGAGATATGGTAGTAGGTGGTTGGCGGGTGCTCTGGTGTGGTTTTCTTCTTCTTTCCTATCAATCATCTATCGTCTTTATCTGCAATACAAATATCGCATATCAACTTATGAATTGTAAAAGTAGCCTTGAAGCTGATTTTAACCGTTTCAATGGGTTGAACATTTTATAGAATCCACACCTGCAATTTGTTGTTGGAAACTCTTCTGTATAAATGTGAGGAAAAATGTCACATTTCATTTTTTTTTTTTAGTATTGATGGGGTAACATATGATTTCAAACAGACTATGAAGCTGTATTTTCATGGGTTTCAATATTCCGCTATATTTAGCGGATTTCCGCTACTGCCTTTTCCTCCGCTAAACCCCTCTAGCGCTACTCTTGTTCTTGAGATTATCCCCCAAACCCTCAAATTGATATGAAATAACCTTGCTTTGATAACTTGATGGTTATTATTTCAACATTCTAGGGATAAACTGAGTAATAATAATGGTTGCCTCGCAGAAATGGTCTTCTGTTGCGATTACGAGGAAAGTTCCTCCTTTTTTTAAAATTTTGAGTTGAGACCCACGATGTTTCTTCACCAGGGTGCTCAGAGCATGACGGACTGGCAGGAAGATCCCAGCCCTCTGGCGGCGAACATGGCCCAGGTCAGGTGTCGGAGGATAGGAGGCAGGCAGCTGAGAGAAAAGTGAGTGCTTTGTCGGTGATAACGTCGGCAGTGTAGTGGTTAGACTGCTGGGCTCATAACCGTGAGGTTGCGTTTTTCTGGGGTTCAAGCCTCAGGCCCAATGTTGTGTCTGTTGAAAATATATCTGGGAACAGCAAGAACAACAGACACCATTGCTGCAACGCAAGACAGAGTGAAGCGGAGGTCAATGATTGCCCATGCAAATGGGCAAGGCACCGGATGATGATGATGATGAGGGGAAGGAGGGAATTTTGTGGTCATATTTTGTTGCTTTTTCTTTTTTTGCTTGTGTTTTTGTTTGTTTTAAATTTAAAGCAAAGATAGACAAAGAATAAGAGACTTTTGACACCAATTGTCATCAGACCGAAGGGCTAGAACCCAAATGGCCGCTGGATCGGAAAAGTAAAAGTAAAGAAAGTACACCAATTGTCCTCACTTCACCCAGATGTGAATTGGTGCCTGGTTGTAGACAGCAAAAGAACTTGTCAATAAGTTAGTGGTTTTGCGTCTGTAAAAATGGCATCTTTCACTGTATGCACCCCAGGAAGTTGTTTTTGTTTTTGTAAAGTGTTTTACGGCGCTTGCAACTGCATAAGGTCATATGAGCGCCCGGAGGAAATTTTGAATTTTGCCCGCGTGGCGGCCGCAGCCTACTCTTATCGATTTTAGACCACCAAGGGATCTTTAACGTGCGCAACTTGTACACGGGCCCTCCGAGATTTTTCGGCCTTGTCCGAGAAGGCTAGGTGTAGATCTTTCCTACCAGAATATCAGGGGTGTGGCTGAAAGACAGCAGTAAGAAGAAGCGAAGGAGTAGCAGTAGAACAGGAAGTTGAGATTGATTCAAAATGCTATCTGGTCTGCTGGGGGTAATAATATAAATTGTTCAGCACATAGGACTTGCTGTTGAGCTGGAATTTGCGTTATCAAATGCTATCTTTTATTACCATTGTTATATTATCTTTTGCTTGCAGATTTTTTGTGGGTGGTTGGCGGGTGTTCTGGTGTGGTTTGCTTTTTCTTTCCTATCAAACATCTATCATCTTTATCTCCCCTTCTTCTTTTTTATGTTTTTATTACTCTCTTGTAACAGCTCTTATCTTCTGGCGCTCAGTTGACCTTATGCAGTTTCGAGCACCGTTAAACCTCTACTAAAATACGAACTTTTCGTTTCTGTCACAGAGAGCAGGGCAGCATCCCCAAGACGTTGATCGTGGACGAGGACCCGAGCGCTGAGGCCAAACTGAGGAACCATCTAGAAGCTCCCCCGATCCAAGTAATGTACATCATGGCCGACCTGAGTCCTGCCGACAGGTTAGAACACAACAGAGAAATTTTTTTCCTGTGTTTGCTTTTAGTAGATTTTTCTTATCAAACATCTGTCATCCTGATCTCTCCTCCTTCTTTTTTGTGTTTGTTACTCTCTTGTAACACCTCTAATCTTATGAGCTTATGATGAATATACGAAAACGAGGCAAATTTCTTTGGACACACAATGCGGAAAGAAGCATTGGAGAATATTGTAAGAACAGGCAAGTTTGATGGAAAGAGAGGCAGACAGAGGGAAAAGATACTGGACTATCTTCGGCACTTGTGTGTCCTTATTGTGTTGTTTGTGCCTTAAAACACTTACTAAAACTAAAACTTCTTTGTTGTGTTTGTTACTCTCTTGTAACACCTCTAATCTTCGGCACTTGTATGAACTTATTGTGTTGCAAGTGCTGTAAAACTTGTACTAAGTGGGTGGTTGACGGGTGCTCTGATGTGGTTTGCTCCGTCTTTCCTGTCAAACATTTATTGTCCTGATCTCTCCTCCTTCTTTTTGTGTGTTAATTACTCTATTGTTACTCCTCTAATCTTCGGCACTTCTATGAACTTCTTGTGTTGCAACAAGTACCGTAAAAATCATTCTAAAACTAACCAAAAATTTGTACTCAACTGTCCCCGTCGTTTTATGCCAGAAAAATTCTGAATCTGTGCAAAATGAGCCCAAAAACGTGAAACTATGTGATTCTGTAAATTTTAACAAAGAATGATACAGGAAAATAATAAGAAATTATGCCCAAAAAATGATCGAATTGTGCTAAATTATGCGGGGTGCATAAAACCACGGGGACAGACTAAAATAAAAAACATCGCTTTCAGCCCCGCCGATGAGACAGATGAGTACGTGCTGTGTACCCTGAAAGTGGACGCCAACGGTGTTCTGTCCGTGCGGCCTGACTTCACATGTGGACGCAAGCCATACAGCATAGAGACCTTCAGAACGAGAGGTAGCGTCTTGGACTCGCTTTTTTTTGTAAAACATCATGGTGAATTCAGGCTCTCGTCAAAATGATGAAATCGAAGAATTCGGCTTTTTTTATTAGTCAATGGGCAATTTTTTTCTAATTTTCTTCTTTTTTTTGGCTCAACACCTTTTATGTTCTATTTTTTTACCCGTTTCTTTGTGGATTTTACTGAAAAACGTTGATTAGAGGCACAAAAAAAATGTAAATTTTCTGTTTCCAAGGACTCTCGGGCTCTGGAAGTTACCAAACTTTGGTGGCCGTTTTCTAGCTAATTTTACCTCTGAAACCAGGCGAACCTAATCTCCTTCTATAGCAAATATATTAATTTCTTTTTAATTAAATATAGATGGATATTTTTTTCTACGAAAGCAAATGAATAGGCTTTAGTATTGTACCAATAACCTCATATGCCCAAAAATTGCTCAAACTAAAATGCATTTTCACTTTTTAAGATGTTGGTAAAAGCCCCCTTGTATCGTTCATTTAAATGTGTGAGGCAGCGTGGTGGAATCAGGCTCTTGTCAATTTTTGGGCATGTAGAGTTATTGGTATCACCTTAAAGCTTGTTCACTAGTCCTTACTTGGATGAAAAAAGTATCCTTTTATCTTAAATACAAGTAGAGATATTTGCGAATGAAGGAGGTTGGGGTCACCTAATTGCAGAGGTGAAATTAGTGAGAAAATGGCTGCCAAAGATTAGTAATTTCCTTAGTATAAGAGTGAGAGGTAACTGAAAATTTACATTTTTTGTGTCTTTAATCAACGTTTTTCAGAAAAATCCGCTCAGAAATGAGTTCTTAAATGAGCATGAAAGGTGTTGAGCCGAAAGTCAAAAATTTGATAAAAATTCACAAACCTGTGGAAAAATGGAAGTTTCTTCACTTTGATTATTTTGACGAGAGCCTGATTCCACCACGCTGCCTCATATATGTATTGTTACCATTTCGTACAGAATTCAGATATTGATCATTTTTATAGTTGTACAGATATTTACTGTTTCGACTCATGGCTCTGCTCAGTAATGCATTAGGTGTGTTGTGTTGATTGATTCGTGAACAAGAAGTGGTAAAACTTGTCAATCTGTGAGTCTCCCTGATAGTTTGAGAATTTCATAATAAACGGCACTTTAGTCTTTCTATGATAAATGATCACTTTGCCAGCTAACTGGCTCTGAATAGATCTTGTTTTTTTAAATTTTGGTTTCTTTTTTGTACAATAAGCAAGTTCTCTGTCTAATTTTTCAGAGGGATTTGACTACACAATTGAAAACATTTCCAAAGACATGAGCAGGTGAGACGAAATGATTTGTTTGTGTCATGTGAATTTTTTAATGGTTCTGGTTAATATATCTGTTAAAAAATCGGTAAGAAGTAATTTCCAGAATGTAAGCTTAGTGTTTGTACTTATACATGTCTTTCTATTTCCAACCAATATTAAGTCATGTTTGGCAAGCATGACTATACCTCCTCTACAAATAAACTCTCATTTTGTATTATGACGAAGAAGTTTATTTTAGAAGTTGGCAGTTGTAAAGAAAGTTTTTAAAAAATTTCTAGAATTTGGAGTATCTTCTTCTGCTTCTACTTTTTTGTGTGTGATTCTTTGGTTCTTGTCTGCCTCAAGTTGTAAGAGGGGGCCGCTCGATGGAGTTATTTCTTTACTGTTCATTTGCTGTTTGTGGGGAAATTTCTCTTATTTTGAAAGTGTGTTCGTTTCTTTCCTCAAAAACAAATGTCTTCTTCTTCCGCCCCTTTCCCCTCCTGGCTAAAAGTTGTCATTGTCCTACCTGTCCGTCAAGCTTTATCTATGTAATTTTTACCCTTTTTTTTTTTTCCAGACAAGAGCAAGATAAAGAGTTAAAGATGTATCGAGAGGTAAAATAATTTAATAAATAGCTTACGTTTCTTTTTTCTGTACACGATCCCTCCCTTCCCCCCGCCCCCGTTTCCACTTTCATCTTAATGAATTTTGGTAAATGGGTGTGTGAACAGAAAGTTTGTGTGTGCTACTTTTGAAAAGCCAAGCATGTAGGCACGGCTGACGTTGTATTTTGGTTTGTTTTTTGTTTTTTAATGTGTTGAAAGAAGTATATATATGGCCAGTACTATTTACATGTGGTTCCTTTCAACCTGGGGAAAATGTGATGCCGTCATCTATTTCTTTTGTTTTGCAGTGTCATTGCTAAACTTGTTTTGACTTCTGGCTTTACTAGACTTTATGGGGGCTCCAGTGGCTAAGTGAGTAGTGAGTTTCGACATTCTCAAGTAATGTTAATGTCAAGCAAGTGTCGGTAACACGGGGATCAGATGAGTGGTCACTTGGGTGTGTGTGTGTGTGTGTGTGTGTGTGTGTGTGTGTGTGTGTGTGTGTGTG